CCGTAATGTACTGCCCCGCGTGGCAGGGTGTTATTTACATATGTCACATTTAAAAAAATAAACCAATTTGAAAATATTAATTTAAGTGATTGAAAAATTTAATTCTCTTTACTCTTGTTCTGTGCCTTTCTCAAATTCCCACGTTCATTATTTTCATCAGTTAATCCACTTGATAATTTTCTCTTTCTTGTAGTACTTTGTTTCCAAGCTTCTTTCGATTTTTCTCGCAGCAGATGTTTTAGTTCATTTTCATCAGCTAAATAAATATTAACATATCAATTGTATTATTTTTATTAACAAACCAAAGATTTTTTTAATGAAATTAGACATAAAGTATAGAAAAAAAGTAAAAAGATAAAGTATTTTTGAAAAAAATTGAAGATAGAAAATTTCCATCACCACCAAACTTCCTCATAAAGAAATAAAAAATTTGTAAAATGGAGTAAAAGTAAAAAAGAATAAAATATTAATTTTAAAAGAAATTAAAATCGTTAATTTTTAATTTTTTTAATATGTCAACTTACTTGAAATGGCAATCACTTTTCCAATATATACACGGAAAAAAAAGTACGTGAAATTTTCATTGACTCGGTACTTGACTTTTGGATACGACACAAAATACTGAAAACAGTCTTGTAGTTTTGCATGAGAGTTTCAAAAGCAGTCAATGAAAATTTCTAGTACCTTGCTTGAGAATTTCATTGACTTTCAAAAAAATTGTAAAATAAAAAAAATAATTTCCACTTGTTCACACAGTTTTTCTGAAATTCACTCATTCATTCACATATTTGGATAATTAATCACACAAACAAAGACCAATTATTGTATCACTTTTCGACGTTCGTCAACACTTATGAACTAACCTATAACACACACATATTCGCGTATAACTTAAATATAAACACACACTTAACACTTAAAAGTACGTATCGAATTGTTCTTATATACCACATGGTGAAATTTTTCACGACTTCTGAGACATGCTATTTCACTGAAAACTGAGACTTACATAACATTCTGTTTTGTGAGAAACACAAAATAAAAAATATTTTTTTGAAAGTCAATTCTTGAAGACAAATATATATTAACACTATTTGTTTTTCATAAAATAATAGTATATTCACATCTGAAATTAACACAAATGGAAACAGACGATCAGCTGGCATTTACCTTAAGTAGAAACGCGCAACGCACACTGCGCATGCTCTACAGAATTTTCAAGCGCAGTCAACTAATCTTTCACGTACTTTATAAAACTGAACAAATGACTTTTCGTTAAAATTTAAAAAACACTGTTGCCCATACTAGTACTAGAATAACTCTAGGACTTTTCTATATTTTCTAATAAAAAGTATATGATACAGCCTTGTATTTTGTGTCCTATCCAAAAGTCAAGCACTTTCAAGGAAGGATTCACGTACTTTTTTTTTCCGTGTAGCTTCTTGCACGTAGAATTTTCTGGCTATAAATATTTTATGTTTGTTCCAATATTTATTTCCGCAATTTTTGGATCAAATATTACAGATTTCTTAAAAATAATTGTATAACATCCATCTTCTTCCACAAGAATCTGTTCTTCCATTTTTGTAACAAATAGAATTAATTCCGTAAAAATTAATTATAATATACTTTTTATTTCATTAGAAAGCTTGACAGTAAAGATGAGTAAAATATTTATCTTTTGTTTCCTAACTGTTATTAGTAAAAACAAATAACGCTTGTAGATAACTTCAAATGTATATAGTTAATAAAGAATAAGAATAAATTTGATTATTTAAAAATCAAAAATACATAAATTATTATTTTTGTAGGTAAATTATAATAAAAATGTTTATAATTTATAAAACAAAAAATTTGACAAGTTAAAAATATTCAAACGTGCTAAAGAATATCAAAAACACAATTAATTTTTTAAAAATTACAAATTATAAAGGAAATTGTAAATAATTGTTTTAAATTTGCTGGCAAAAAAATAATAAAAATCAATACATAATTAAGTTTCTTTAAATTAAATAGCTATAACCTTTTTATTTCGGGATCTATGAAAAGTTCTATTTAGACATTTTCAAATAACTAATAATTAGAAAAAAATTGTGTAAATGAAATAAAAAGTTGTTTATTTCAAAACTGTTATACTAAGAAAATTTTAATGCATACAAATTATTTATTGAAATCATTGTGTCTCTCTATTGATAAAAAATTAGTTGCATTACAAAAATAAAATTTTAATGAGAAGTTCCAACAGGTAAAAAAAATAGGATCAAACAGTTGATATAATCATAGATTTTAACCATAAATTTTGAATATTTATTTCTAAATTTTTAAAACTTCATTTATATTTAAAAGTTCCTTGTTGATTTTTTCTGATATATTTATTGCTGTTTTTATTTTATCAAGTAAATTATCTTTTTTTTCTTTTTGCAGTTCGATGGCCATTATTATATTATCCTTCCTTGCACTTTCAATGTATTTTAGTCTATTTGCCTCTTCTTTTATCTTCTCCTCCTCTTTCATTTCTTCTTTCGAAATTTTCTGCTTTCTAATGTTTTGAATCCTCTTATCCATTTCTCTTTGTAATGTTTGGATCGAATCTGAAGAATAATATAGTTTTTATAATAAAAATAATATATATGGGCAATTCCACGGGAAATTTTTCTACGACATTTTAGAATCGGTTAAACATATTTTTTTATCGTTCTTGATAGAAAAATATTAAATACGTATTTTTTTATTTTTCCATATTTGCCAAAATTTTCGAGTTATGAATTTTCGAAATTTTGGATTTTTAAAAGTAGACCTATTTTCAATAGCTTATAACTTTGAAAGTATTGAGTTTGGAAAAAAGTTGTCAAAGGAAGAAAGTTTTGGTTTTTCTTCAACTTTTAAAAGATTTAAAAAAAAATTTTTTTTTCAATTTTTAATAAAAAAAAATTATTTTTTTATAAACAAATTAATTTTTTTTAAATTTGGGCGCGATTTTTTTTATTTATTTATACCTACTAATATACAGAAAAATTTCCAAAAAGATTCGAGATGGGCTGACTCATAGTTTTCGTTCTATAAATTTTTTAATTAATGTGTTTATAAAAAAAAAAAATTTTCTTAAAAATTAAAAAAAAATTTTTTTTTTAAATTACATAAAAGTTAAACAAAAACCAAGATTTTCTTTCTGTGACAAGTTTTTTCTAAACTCAAAACTTTCAAAGTTACAAGCTATTAGACTTATAATTCTTTGTAACTTTGAAAGTAAGCTTGTAAGCTATTAGACTTATAATTCACAGTTTTCGTTCTATAAAAAATTTATGGAACGAAAACTACGAGTCGGCCTATCTCGAATCTTTTTGGAAATTTTTCTGTATATTAGTAGGTATAAATAAATAAAAAAAAAATAAAAAAAAATCGCGCCCAAATTTAAAAAAAATTAATTTGTTTATAAAAAAATAATTTTTTTTTATTAAAAATTGAAAAATAAAATTTTTTTTTAATCTTTTAAAAGTTGAAGAAAAACCAAAACTTTCTTCCTTTGACAACTTTTTTCCAAACTCAATACTTTCAAAGTTATAAGCTATTGAAAATAGGTCTACTTTTAAAAGTCCAAAATTTCGAAAATTCATAACTCGAAAATTTCGGCAAATATGGAAAAATAAAAAAATACGTATTTAATATTTTTCTATCAAGAACGAGAAAAAAATATGTTTAACCGATTCTAAAATGTCGTAGAAAAATTTCCCGTGGAATTGCCCATATATATATATATATATATAATATAAACAAGAAAGAGAAATGTTTTTAACTTCTGGTAATTAAAAAACCAAATTTGAATCAAACTAAAGTTTTTTTGCACATAACCTATAATATTTCGTTGCGTAACGTCACTTTACCGTAAAGCTTTATATACATACACATTTTATCAAATGTAATGCTTACGAGATTGCATTATGATTTTTCCTATTTTTATATTGGAATTTTCGTCATTATCTGGATAAGAAAACTGCACTTTCGCACCAATTTTTATTTCAGATTGATGTGTTACTAGAATAGATGTTTTGTTGATGATATAAAACCATCCATCATTGACATAAGCATCTAATAAAACATAGAATTCGTCTTCCGTCGTATCCATTTCGTCAGTAAACCCGTTTTTTGTAAATATAAGGAACTGTATCGAATTTATTGAGTACTCTTATTGAATGAAGTTTATATTTACGTTTAAAGGGATGGGTATGTTGAGAATAGTGATACCGTTATTATGGCGAGTTTCCAATAGAAACCTAAGAGCTGACGCATAGGCCTTCAGTCTTAGGCTGTTTTCACAACAAAAGTCATAGTGAATAGGCCCTTAGGCCTTTTCTGTTCAAAACTCTATATTGTGCTTTAGACATTACGCTTCTGCTCTCGTAAAAATACACCCTTATAGTTTACTGGTTTGAGAACGTTAAGACGCTAAGTCAAAACTACTGAAAATTTTCAGAATTCTGATTAATAATAAAAACATTCGAAGCTCCTGCCGTAACTTTTTTTTATGTGCAGATATCTTTGAGGTAAGTAAATATTTTATATTCTCTATTTCATTAGGTTTGTTTTCGTTGTTTACATTAGCTATACTTTTTTCATTTTTCAATGTACATTGCTTTACTTTCCGTACTTGTATATGAGGTAGTGTAAATAGTTTTTAGTTATAAATTGATATGGAACGGAATATCATGTGAAATTTTTACTCTATTTTTATAACTTTTATGTAAAGTTCAGAATACCATTTATAGGTTAAGTCTACGCATCATAATATTCCTAATATTCTACGATAATGCAATAAAGCGTTGAAATAAATACGTCGACGTTAAAAGCATTTACATTTTTGGATTTATCATTATGAAATAATAGTAAATTAATTTAATAATTATTAAATTTATTATTTATCTAAATTTATTATTAAGCATGCTTAAGTATTGTTTATTTTTAGGTTATTGTTTGGCTATTGAAGTCGCTAATAATCAGGATACGTGGATCACATTTAGATGATGTTTATGACTAATTTCAATCACATTAATTAATAAAATTGTTGGTAAGTTGTTTTCATTATAAATCTTTTCAATGTAGTTGAAATGGAACAGTGTTGTTTGTATTATTTGCATGTTATTTAGTTTGTAAGCATTATAGTTCGAAATTTTTTCGATTAGTGATCAAATATTTACTTTTGACTTACTCTTTTTCATCAATATAAAAAATAATTTGATGACTAAATAATTAATACTCCTAACAATAGGCTTTTCTAGGAGAACAATTGAATTTTTATCCTTACTTCATGACATTAAAAGATGATAGATTTTTGTAAATTAAGCTTTAAAATTAAAAACTAAATTTAAAATTTTCCCATACTCTTGAAAAAGTAGTATAGATTAATAATTTACTAATAATATATATTAAATATTATTAATTACTAACTTCCAAATTCTTTTTCACTATTTGACATGATAAATTTTGAAACTTGAATTTTACCGGAATTAAAAATAACAATTTGCAGTTCGTGATTTTAGTATTTTCATCTTGATCTAAAACTTTAAAAATACCCATCTGCTAAGTCTCTTTTTTAATACAATTATTTTGAGTTTTTATTTCGTATTTTTATTATATTACGACAAAAGCGGAAGTTAAAGTTTTGAACGTTCAAATGAACAAAATTTGTTTATATCTTTTTCAAATTAAATTCTTATTACTATAATTTTGCGTCACTATTAAGCAAATTAATTATAATGTTTCTAAAAGTAAAATTTGAGTTTTCAATTTGAATTGTAATCAATAATCTATGAGAATATTTTTAACAAAAAATATTTCGTTCATTTGAACGAATGTTCAAAACTTTTTGTTCATGACAAAAGTTTAATCCTGAACTTTTAAAAGATAAAATTCTACTGAACTGTAAAGTCGTAGAAAACATGGAAAAGATAAAGAATTTTTAAGTATTCTAGATATTATTAAAATCTGGGAACCTTAAAAAACTACTGTAATTTTTTTTAAATTAAAAAGAAGTTTTATAGATGTAACTCGTAATGCAATATGGGCATATATCTAGAATCTTTAATTTTTAATAAGAAAAAATGATTTATTTTTTTAGCACATTATGAAACTTTGTTTACCGAATTAACCGAAAGATTTTTAATTTGCAAAAAAAAATATTTAACAGGTGTTTTTTTAAAATCGAAAACCGTTAAAAGCAATTAACCAAAAAGTTATAATTTATAATATTTATATTATTTTATTAATATTATATTAATTATATTATTACTTTTCAAAATCTGTATTATTTTTAACTAAAACATGAACTGGGATATAAATAACATTACTTTTCATTTTTTTGTGAATAACTAAAAAATTAAATTGTTTATTTTAAAAATAGGCTTTAATTAAACTGCATTACAGAAATATAAAATTATAATTTTCAATGTTTACCATACATTTTTCAAAGAATATTTATTCAAATTTATTTTACTTATAAATTTTCCAATTTCTTTAACTTTTTTTTCTCTTACATGTTATTTTTTAATAATTAATTTCTTTTGTCATTTATTGTAAGTAAAAAATATCAAAATAAACATTGAAACTTAACCTTCGGTTTTAATTATTAACAGTTTTTATAAAAAAGTGAGAATTGACAACTTTATCCTTAACAATTTCTTTTCTAAAAACTATCGTTCGATTACGGTCGTCAGTAATTGACTAATATTTTTTAATTATCTTTGCAATTAGTATGTTTTCTCGACACATATAATTCACGGGATGTTAAGTAGCACATGTAAAAATATATGCAAGTACTTTTCGAATAATTTTATTTGATTTTCGTGGTCATATTACGATCGTTTTCAAATTTTGCACGCACTTGTTTTCTGGTATTTAAATTATAAAAGTTTTTCCAAGACACGAAGCACATCAATTTACTGTGTCTTAAAATAATTATAATAACTTGTACTTGTTTGTTTGTTTGTTTATCAAATAGGTTAAAAGAGAAGGACTACTTTTTAAAGCTTATAAATGTTTTCACGATTAACAAATTATTCATTTTCATACTGAAAAGTGTTTATTGTTTAATTAACTTGAAAAAGATTATTTGTGACACGATCTGAATTTTGTAAATGAAAATACAAAAATGGATCTACTGTCAATATAAATCATTGATGTTTAAGTCTTCATTACAACTAAAATATTTAAGGGTTCATACCACTTTACACGCTTGAAAATGAACCTTTTTTCTAGAATTTTTTTACGGTTCCTATGGATTATAATATTGATCTCCATTTTTTAGTTCAATAAATACACTCTTTAACTTTATAAAAAACCTTATTTTATTAATTAATATTTTTAAATAATTCTAGTTCCGGTGATACCCACACATGTGACGACGATTTTCGTAAAAAAATTTTGAGGATTCTCAAAATCGGTCCAGTAGTTTCCGAAAAAACATCCCGCAGCATGGAAAAATGTAGTTTTGAGAAAAATGCGTTTAAAGTTTGTGTTGTATACTTACATAGCCATGTACGCGCTCAAATAGTACTTAAAAAATATATTTTGAGGGCTGGGATCTTTTTAAAAATTTTACACCACATTTTTGACATATTTTACTTTCGAAATCAGTAATAAAAAAAATTTTGCTTTTTTGAGACAAAGTGGTATGAACCATTAATAAACACTGATTTTAATTTGTAATAAGTAAAATAAATTTTCGATCCAGAAAAAAGTAACACTAACATAACCTAAAAGTGATTTGCTTCTAAGGTCCCTTTCTGCAGATCACGTCACATTTAGAATTATTAAATTAAAAAATTTTAAACTGTCTGGGAGACCCAGCGTAAAAATAGGCATACAAAGTTAGCAACTTTTTTTATTATTATATTTATAAAATTGTGTTAAAGATTGAAAATATTAATCACCTTGCTATTAAATATTGTTTTCTATTGCAATAAGTTAACTTTATATTTTTAAATCTGCTATTTTAAAAATTTTGCTGTTTATTTGATAATTTTACAAGTTTATTTACTATCATTTCTTTCAGAATGGTGTTATCTTCAACAAGGATTAAATTATCAGTCTAAACATGGTAATAATTTATTTTATTCAAACATGGAGAGCTTTTGTCATTTACTGTTTACATAATTACCTTTTTAATAAATCATAAGAAATTAACTTAGGATTTATAATAAACAATATAATATGTGGACGTCCACATGAAAAGGGCCTATTTTGGCACTATTAGAGTTATCTATATGGGCGTATTGCTGGCAAAATTTGGAAAATTTTGAGTGGTCTTAGAACTTTTTTGGTTAAAAATTCGCTGAGTTACGAAATTTTAAAGTTTAGAACGCCAAAAACCTCATTTCGAAAAAACGGTATTAAAGATTGCGATACCAACTAATTGTTGTATTTCTTGTTCTTCTTGGAAGTTATTCAGATAAGAATTGTTTCCGGTTTAGGGCACCTTGAAGATAAAAAACCAACAGGTTTTAAATTTTTAAAACTATCCCCCCTTCTTAATTTTGAAAATACGAAAAATCGACCATATGGGCCCTTTTCTAAAAAGGACAGTTTTTCTATTAAAAAACCATTTTTTACAAGATTAATGATTAGGTACTATTTTATTGTGTCGTTTAAAGAAAAAGAATAGATATTAAACTTTTTTAAAAAGTTTTTGACAATCTCTATTATGAAAAAATTGACGCAATATCCAAATTTTCATTTCGACAATTACGAAAAAAAACTCTAACATCAATAGCTTTGGTTTTTTGGGCAGTTATTAAGATAAGAATTGTTTACAGTCCAGGACACCTTAAAGATGTAAAATCAAGGTATTTTAAATTTTTCCACACCTCCATTTCTAAAATACGGATTACTTTTGCAAATGACCGACAAAATGGGCCCTTTTCATTTTTCTGAAGAATCAATTAAATCAAACAGATAATTTATCGATAAATTAATGAAAACCGCATGATTCGACTTGTAAAAACATGTAGATTGATAATAAAAAATAAAAAAAATTAAGATTTTACTCCAAAATTAATAAATTGCGATTTATCTCGAAAACTAGAACCGACAATAGTCGTTTGACGTGTGGACTTTCTTTTATAATACTACTATTCAAAAATAAAAGTCTATGGAGTTAATTAAAATTATAAAAAATTGCAAAAATTACAATTATTAAGTAGTTTACAAATAGTTTATCTTAAAAAAGTGTATAGGATCACATACAGCTCCAAAGTTTGTTTCATTTAAAACAACAGGTGTGTGTTGTGAGACTTAAAATACGTTTTTATGTATACAATAATGTCAACAGATTTCTCTTGTAGTAATAAGAATTTTTCAAAAAAATTTCATTTGTTATTTATATATTATCTAATTAACTGTTTTTAGAGCTCCAATAGTGATACCGGCGATAATCAAACTTCATCGATAATTACCAATTATTCTTCATCTTGGGAAGTAGAAACTGAAGTGAGGTGGCTGTTCAGTCAACTTTTGCTGTAAATTCCTCTCCGTCAACTTTAAATGAAGATCAAGGTAGCACCTTACCTCCTTCCTCGCCTGAATCCCTTTTGTCAATACCACATTCACCATCAGTAACACGAAGTAGTAATAATTTTAGCGACGATGATAATAATGTTAGAGACGATAGCGATGATAGCGATGATAGCTCACGATGTAACGGTAAAAAATTGAAAAGTTTTTTCATAGAATTTAATATTGAATCTGAACTGCGTAATGCCTTTGAAGTGAGGGATCTTCATTCTTTAATTGATTCTTTTCAAACTGAATGTTTTTTCAAGAAATTCGGAAAATTTGTACGATATAACGTCTGCTTCAGAGTTTCAGCGTCTAAAAAGAGTTGCAATACCTGGTCAATATGATTTATTTTTAATTTGGTTTACAGATGGAGTGCAAGTCTCCAAAAGTAGACGCAGTCAAATTTGGCCAGTATATGCTCAAATTGTTAACGTAGAGCTAAGATTAAGACGGAGTTTTCAATTCGTATGTGGGATTTTTTACTCAAACCGATGTACTAAGAAACCAGACATGAATTCTTATCTGCTTTCTTTTACATTAGGTTTAAGAAATTTATTCACAAACGGGTTTGAATGGAAGCATAAGACATTAAATCGTACAATGTCAAGTAAAGTAATTGCTCCAATTGCTTGTTTGGATGCTCCAGCAAAAGCTGGTGTACTAAACCTAATGCTCTACACTGGTGAGTACAGTTGTCAATGTTGTGAAATTAAAGGTGAGAGTTGTGCAACCGGTGCTGGTTTAAATTGGGTATTTCCAACCGGTTTCGAACAGTCCCCTTTAAGATCTGATGAACGAATGGAAATTCAAACAACAGTTGTTGAAAAGTTTAAAAATTTGAAACATTTCAAAGGCATTAAAGGTATGTCAGTTGTTACTAACATACCGCACTTCAGCAGGTCAAAAGGATTTATTTCTGATTATATGCATGCTGTACTCCTTGGTGTGATGTCGAGACTTTTATCTCTTTGGTGTGATTCTTGTAAGAATTTGGAAAATTATTATTTGTCTAAAGAGCTCAGAAGTGATATTGATAAAATTTTAGAGACAATAACACCACAGGATGACATAACTCGGACACCTAGAAAACTAACTCAACTCAGTGATTGGAAGGCTTCCGAGCTCAGAGCGTTTCTAAACTATTATGGACTAATAGTTTTAAAAAATCGTTTAAATAAAGTTCATTTTCAACATTTTTTAATACTTGTTAAAGCAATTCATTTACTTTCTCAAGAAGAAATTAGTCCATCAGATATAAATTTTGCGGAAACTTTATTCACTATTTTTATTATTGATGTTGAAGAACTGTACGGTAATAACAAATATTCTTATAATATTCATCAATTATCACATCTTCCATTTCAAGTAAAAATGTGGGGACCACTCTGGGCTTGGTCCGCCTTTTCCTCTGAAGATCAAAACGGTGAACTTGTTAAAATGATACATGGCTCTAATAAAATTGACGTAGAATTATCCAATACAGTTAAAATTATTCAAGCTTATCGTAGTATTAAGTATCTTATGCATCCTGAAAGAACATTAAATGAGAACAGACGATATCTTTACGGAATAACTATAACTTATGACATAACAGCAAGCGAACTTAGAGCCATCGCTTATGCAACTCATCTCACTAAAGAGCAGCTACTTGAAGAGCGCATTCCTATATATAGTAGATGCAAAATAAATGATGAAATTTTCACATCTAAATTATACACTCGGCAAAAAAAGCGTTCAAATTTTTATATTCGATGGAAAAAAGATGAATCCATGTTCTTTGGTGCTATCAAGTATTTTATAAAAGAGGGGGGAAATTCTTACGCAGTAGTAAATGAATTGAACCAATGATAGTATTGAAGAAATTAAAAACAAAGAAATTGGATTTAATCTAAATAATAACATTAAACACATACGTGAATCTTACAACATTCATATTATTCCAATAGACATTATACTATCAAAATGTTTAAAAGTAGAAAATTATATTTGTATCTTTATTAATAATATGGAAAGAAAATAATGTAATAACGAATGTTTTCATTATTAATTTATCGATTACATTTATTTTCATATTTTACTCTTGATATATAAAATATTACAACGGCTTCCATTATCATTTCGTCATTGTTGTAAAAACACTGCTATAAATGAATTGAATGTAAACAATAAGAGAGCAATATATAATATGGTTATACTGTTGTAAATGTATATTATTTTTTATCTGAACAACGTCAGAAAAATGTAAATTTTACGTGTAAAGTACGAATGTAAATAATCAGTATAGAGTATAATGTATATAATTTTAGTGTATAGAAAAGTGAAAGTTTGGATACATCTCATCTCATCTGTATTGTATTTGCGTAATTGTATTGAATTATGTGAACGATCCCTAACGAATAAAAAAACGTGGTTTTAATTTTGAACAGGAATTGATCAATAATTAATTAATTTTGATTAATTTTTAATTGATCGTTCCTGTTCAAGAGGATTTCCCACTCCGTTTTAAACGGAATCATAAATGTTTTTATTTCTTTGTCCTATTATAATTTGAAACATCACATAGGCTGGTTTGTGTTTCCAAATTCAGACGCAAAAATTTACTTTATAATCATTGGTCGTAATGTTATGCTTCTCTAACAAGCGAACAAATATGAATGTATTTGAAATACTTACAGGGTGACCACATATCAGTAAAGTTAGGAAAATGTTAGGGAAAAAATTTTTGTCTATAAATTCAGGGAAGTATCAGGAGAAACAATTTTTTGTCAGGGAAATTAATTAAGACATGACGAAAAAGCCTTTAGCCAATGAACACCAGGTAGCAAATTTTGAAATTAATAATTAATGAAAACTTATACCACGAGTAGGTAGTCCTATGTCAATTATTAAAATGTTTAATTTTTTTAAAACGTTGTGGTATCTGGTAACTTCCTATTGATCGACTTTTCATTTGTAGCTTGAACATTACAAAAAAATCCAAATTAGCTTATCTACTGCAACCTAAGTAGAAAAGTAAATATTATTATCTCCGAAAAAGATTATAAGAAATGCTTGTTTGGATAGAAAAGGCAAAACAACATTGGTTTTAAAAAAATGAAAAAAACAGTAAAAAATTATTATGGTCATAAATAAACTAAGAACAGTTTATAGATATGTTTTTCTAGAAGAAAAATTTCATTGGGGAAAAATGAACAATTTAACGAAATTTACAAACCCATTTTCATAAAAAGAATTAAAGAAGTAAATGGATAAAAGTAGATTTTGAAAAAGTTTTATCTTAAAAAAAATGATCTATTAAGTGCTTGTTTTGAAATCAAGCAGTACACAAATTCTCGAAATGATAAATACACAAATACACAAATTCTCATGTAAATAATAGTTAATGTAAACAATAATTAAAAATTTAAACAATTTTTGTTATTACAATTTTATTAAAAATATGGTTATTTTATAATTCTTATTTTTTATTGAAAACTGCTTAAAAACTCAATGAAATAGAAAATTCTTTTATGGAAATGTGTAAATAGATTTACTTGTTTCTTAAATGGTAAATCTTAATTTAAAAGAATTGGTGCTTAAACCTTTTTGCCATGCTGCCCATTAATTCTTCTCGTTTAGAGGTAGAAATCACGAATACGATCCTGAGGATTTTCTAGTGGTACATTTTTAATTCTAAAGGTTACATTTTCTGAGAAATAAGTCAAACATTTTTTCCCGAGACAATCTCGGGAATTTCTCGGGAATTTTCCGGTAGTGACTCTCGGTAATTTACCGGGACTGATTCCCGAGAACAATTTCACGTGGTGTTTACCTGATCCATGGAAATAAAAGCAGATTCTCCAATAGGACTAAATGCGCACCTGATATACCCACGCGATAAACTATATACCTATAAGTAAACATCAGATGTAAGAAAAACTAAAAAAAATGCAAAATGGGATCTTTACCTATTACCTCCTCGTGGTAGATCCCGGAAACTACAGTACGTTTTATTTTTGTAGGCTAATAACAGGACATTTTTTTTATTTTCTGAATTGTATAGACACTAGTTTTGTAATCACCAAACTTAAAATCTCCAAAGCAAAAAATTGTAGGCGAATCTCACCCAATCTAAAATCCACTTTAATTCTTACATCAGATTCGTAATCAGCGACCTAAAAAACCCCTAGATACAAAGTTTCATAAAAATCGATTAATTTTAAAAATTGTATGTCTGCCATTTTGGATCCGCCATTTTGAATTTTTGAAATCTGACATCAGATTCGTAATCAGCGACCCAAAAAACCCATAGATACCTATGTTTAATTCAAATGTATTGATTTTAAAACTTTATGTCCGTCATATTGGATCCGCCATTTTGAATTTTTGAAATATGACTTTAGATTCGTAATCAGCGACCTAAAAAACCTTTAGATACTTATGCTTCATTAAAATTGATTAATATAAAAAAAATTTATGTCCGCCATTTTGGATTCGCCATTTTGAATTTTTGAAATCTGACTTCAGATTCGTAATCAGCGACCCCAAAAACTGTAGGTAGCATACTTGTTATTCGTAAATATCTTGCTTTTTTTAAATAATTATTTTTGGCCAAAAATCAACAATTCTGGCCCACTGTGCAGACCCTGAACAATTATTTATTGTCCGGATGTATGTGAGTGTGTGTGTGGATCCCGTTTTTTGTGAACACGATAACTCGAAGAGGTTTTAACGAATTTGGCTAAAATTTTACAGGTATATTTAATTTATCATAAAAATATCTCGAAATGGATTGATAGACTGAAAAATTCTCAAAAAATAAAGTTTTTTTGACTTTTTTCTAAAAATTTTGTTTTTTCAAAAAAAAAATTTTAAGTGGGTTATTAAAGTTAATATATAATAAAATCTTATTCTTTGCATCAAGACAAATCGATTGGTCTATACAAAGTACAAATTGTAAGAGAATTTATAGAGTTATTCACAATTATTAAGAATGAAAAATTCGCATTTTTATCAAAAAATGAGTTCTTTCAACAAAATTATGTTGCTGTATAATAAAATCTTACTCATTTATTTATAAACCTTATTCTTTACATCAAGAC